ATACGCAATATAGAAGGTGCTACAACAGATGAGCGTTATAAGATCAACCATGCAAGAAATTATACGTACAATAAATTCATCGAAATTCTTAGAGACATTGATAAGACTACAATTAATTAAAAATTTCGATGTTGCTAGAATATATTTGTCTTAGAATATGTCATTACTTATTTCAGTGAATAAAAAATATGTAAATTAAAATATGTAAAGTAAAAATTTATTTTTGATATAGTTTTTAAATAAATAAATTTTAAATATATTTTAAATAAATAAATTTTAAATAAATTTTAAATAAATTTTATAATTTTAAATAAATTTTACATGTTTTAATTGTTTCTTTATTTATTCAGTACTCTATACCTTTTATGTAATAGGTGAAAGAGAAGAGAGAATTAATTTTAGACATACTGTCAATTTCTGAATCAAGAGGATCCATAACTTGTGAATCATCTAGACGAAGAGATTCTTGTTGAGTCTGGACTACGAATAAATCCAACATTCGACTCTCAGGCATAATCTAGACATTACAAGTATAGTCAAATAAATAATAATTTAATTATTAGTTTATTATCATTAGTCTAATAATCCTTAACAATATAATTCAATTAATAAAAATTTTATAAACGATTTCACATGAATGCGACAAAATTCTTTACGTTCAACTTAAATATCATTGAAAATATTAGAAGAATATTCTTTCTCTCCTCGTGTGTTTTCAAATAAAACTTATATTCAGTTTTCTTTGAAAGTATTATCACACACGTGAAAAAATACCTCATTGATTGTATACACGCCGAACAACGTAGCAATACCCTCGTTCAACCACATGCAAGACCACCATGATGGACTAACCGCGGTACCAAACAATTGACCAACCACTTTACGTCCTATTTTACGTGATAACTCTATTTTGCGTGCAATGGGATCTATTTTTTCATTGTAAATAATATCTTCTTCTCTAAACACAACAAACAAATGATTCGTTATATACAAATATTCACAATATATGCTATTTTTTAATACTGGTAGCATTACATATTATATAATATTTACTACGTTTCTTTGTTCTACAATTTTTATTATACAATGCTTACAATGTTTTATTAGAAAACTATAAAAATTAATTTTTTTTAAAACATATTCTACCTGTAAAGTACGAACGCCAATTTATCCACGCCATCATCTGTCAAACCTGCGATCGCAAATTGATTTCTTAATAAATAATCTTCGTGTAGTTGCCATGTATGTTCAACAGTACGTGTGACATCTTCAATTAATTTCAAAATTTGATCCCATTGTACTTCCATCAACTCTCTTCTCCATAATTTGAGGTTTTGTATGGGAGAAATATCAGTATAATCATGCTTATCAAATATCACAATTCCTATTCGGTACGTGAATATTTCAGGAATTACGATATAGTATGTCGTCAAAGGTTTTGACGTAGATGCAAAAAGAAAAGAATTTGAAAGAACATTGTAAGATTCAGGAACATTTACAACAATGACAAATTCAGCTTTTAATCCGGGTTCGTCCCAACATGGAAAGAGTCGTCGCATTCCTATCGCTGAGTTATTTGTTACGATCAGCCATCTAACATATTCAATTAATTTTGTTAATTGTGTAGTAAGACAATTTTTTATTTTCAATAACATTTAAATTAATTCATTACAGGAACGGGGGAAAGAGCGAATATATTTTAATGGAAATATTTTTGCTACGTTTATGTTTTATTAGTGCAAGACGTGACTTTCTTTTCTACTACTTTTTTACAATTCAATATATTTATGTTATTATGCATAGATATATATACAGATTATAAATAAATGTTAAAAGATTCGTATTAAAAATTCTATTTTATATACGCGGATAATATTATAAAAAATTTTATAAAAATCTTATTTAATAAAACATCTTCAAGGAAGAAATAATATCACTATATACGTTATTATTTTCATAACTTTTTGCAAAGTGTTCACTTTAGCTAACTATATATTTTGCAACAAAACTAAAGCTTTTTCTAAAACTCTATAAATATTATAACATTAAGAGAGTTATAACATATTATTTTTCATATATTTAAAGAACTTTATTATAGACCGCCTATACTATTGTGAATCATTAATTTTCACTAGTTCAGACTCTTTTTAATTTTTATTAGATAATATTTATCAGTATTTAATAGATATAAAAAGTAGACTCATTTTAGACATTATTACATAATATTTTTAATTGATGTGTATGTTTTCTTACTCACTTTTTTTCTCCTATCGCATTTATATATGAGACCTTGACAAAACCTCCATCATTAGCAATAACACCTTTATACGTTATGCTCAAAGTATAATTACCAGGATGTAGAATTTCGGAGAAATACAAGATGACAATTTGCAGTTCGTATATATACGAAATATTACGTATTTGACGCATTAGTATATGTTTATCAATCTTTCTAGTTAATATGACTTCAGTTATTTCTAAATTTGCTGAATGCAGGCTTATATTTTGTGTAGCCTTACGAATAATAATCATAATACGACATTTTCCATAGAAGATATTCTTTCCTGTCTCTAATGTTAATTCAATTTCGTATTTTTTGGTTTTATAAAATCAGGCAAATGAAGATTGAGAAGCCTAACACGTACGGTTTCAGACATTTGGTGTATATAAGAGTGTGTATCGTTGGATGTAATTTCCTTAGTGATTTTGATTACTTCTGATCTTCTAGTTCTCGTCGTTTTTGGTCTGTTTATTTGCTTGTTATTTATTTTAAATTTGTGAAATACATTTTCTTTGTGTTGATAAAGAGCCATAACGTAATTTAGTAAACTTCCATATAGTAACAATTTTATTAATTTGGTAATATTCATCTAAACAAATTTTTCATTTACAGAAATGTATTTTTTATAAGAAACAGAAATATAAAAATAAAAAAGTAAAATTATATCGTCGAAATTTGACTTTTGCAAAAACTATGAAACCATAGTTAAAGATTTTTTTTATTAATAGGTTTATGATCACAACAGAAAAGTACAAAAATAACTAAAATAGCCACAGCTTGTTTTCGAAAGTAGATTCGTAAGTTCTAAATACCATATATCTGTCTATCTAAATCTGTGTATCTAATTTCAAGTAATTAAATTAAATCAACGTTCCGTTATTTTTAGAACTTGCAACGTATTGATTCTCTCAAATTCAGTACGCAAACTTTTAATATTGATTAAAAGTTTCTTTTATTATCTACTACATCGAGAAAGAAATAGAATTGTTTACTAGTGTTATGAGAACATATTGTTTTATTATACTTTCATTATTATATCAAATTATACCGATACATATAACGAAATGAAGTAAAACTTCTTATCTTATCTTATCTTAAGAAAAACTTTTAGTGTTAATAATAATTTTAAAAAAGAGATTGCCTATAAACTATACTTACGTTTTGAAATGCTTCTAAATCTTTATAAAAATTATATTTGTATAATAAAATATATATAAATATTGTATTATTGCTTCAATGATTTATGTATTAAATCTGTATAGGCTTAATGATATTTAAAATGGTTTATAATAATTTATTGAAATTACATTTACCGTTATAAGTGATAGAAAATAGTATATTCTGTGAATCCCACTGCTTCGACAGTTTGTTACAAAGTGACCGTGCCAACAAACATCGGTACTTATAAAGGACATAATAAGCAGTGGAAGGTATAAATATAACATGTTATTATTTATAACAAATTCAGATTACCATTATTTTTTTGTTGTTATGTACTTAAATATATATTATTAAAATTGATTTTAATACAAATTAAACTAATAGTACAAATTGTTATATATTAAAATATTTCTCTTAAAATTTATTAACATAAAAATAAAGAAGAATGCAATTAAATATACGAATTTTTAAAATGTTTTCTTACATAAGTAATTATTAATGAATTAGTCGTAGTTATTAAGATGTATTATAAATCATTGACTAAAAATATGCATTGAATAAACATTATGTTTATTAGATGTATTTTCTTAAAAATGTAAAGGACGTCTTGTATGTTTTATATTTAATTGTATATAAATTACATTATTTTTATTGGTAATAAAAATGTTTCTACATCAATGTATATATATATATATAGTAG